TATATATATATATATATATATATATATATATATATATATATATATATTATTTATTTAAATTAATCTTGGTATCATTGACATAAATTACAAGTGTGAAATGTGATTTCCTGTAATGCTAGAATTTTACAAAATTAAATATCAGGGCAGTCCAAATAAAATCTATTATCAATGGACTTCAAATTTTAACAGATTTCTACTTTATAGTAATTGAAAGCATCATTTTCCAAAACAGTGTATAAAGTAGTAAGAACTACTACATTCTGAACTTTTTCAAAGTCAGGCTGTTTGCCATTTCAAATAGAGCCAATATCAAAGATATATCAAACTTAAACACTACTTTAGCAACTTCGTGTAATGAAACAGAATCTCCAACCAGTACACATTTTTGGAAAAGCTTAATTTTAAGAAATTGATATACACATATTTAAGGAATATGTACAGCACAGACTTACTTGCATTAGTTGTTGTTTCAATTTTTGGATTTCAGATATATTTAGCTCACTCAGAAGATCATTCACCAAACTAGGGGCTGGAGGGAAGCTGTCGGTCTTTTTGGGTGTTGATGCTTTATTATTGCCATTGTTGATTTTACTCAGGCAATTTGGTTCAAAGCCATTCACAATCTCATCATTGTTGGGCTCAGTGGTTTCATCGCTAAACTTCAGTCCATCCAAAGAGATGTTCAAATGGCTGGTATACATGGAGTCATTGATATTCATATAATGAGATAATTCTTTCCGAAGATTATTCTTCTGTTCACGTTCGGTCTTCAGGGTCTCTAAGGCTTCTTCAAGCTGGCGTTCAGATATCTCTTTCAATCTTATGGCATCTTCTAACTGACTGTTCAGGAATTCTGTAACCTCTTCTAGTCTTTTGATTTCATGTTTCAGCCCTTCAAATTCCACCTGTTACAAAAAAGGTGTCACTAAAATATCTGATAGCAAGCACGAAAGAAGGAATCTTAAAATGTTCCCCTTGAAGTAGTTAAAGGTCTACAGAAAAACCAAGGAACAAAAAGAAGGATGACGTAGAGCTTCAAACTCTTTTTGTAATGCTTCCTCACTTTTACCAATACAAGAAAGTTATTATAAATGTGTGCTATTAATTTGTTCTCCCTTACCTATGGATTTTCCTCTGAATTTGTTCTGACCCAAACCCTTTTCCAATAAAACAAATAATAACCAAAGGGAACAGAAACCTTTTTCATGAGACTTATGAATCCCCGGTTAAAAGGTTGCTGCAAACTAATTAACTCTGATAAGCACAAACCTTGCCAAAATTGTGCAAGACTACCAAGAATCACAGATAAGAAATATTTCACAACACAAGAGTCTTCAAATACCAACTTAAGATACTGTAATGTCCATGAGGCTGAGTTTCAAAACGTCTTTGTTTCCTGCAAAAAACATTCGCTTCACAGCTAGCTTTTATCTTCTTGAAGGAGGGGCCACTACCTTGCAGCCTTACTCCCAAGTTGCCTGTGGTGTTGCAGCTGCTCTTGCGCACTGGGCATAGGCTCCTTGGGAACCTCCTCATCGCTGCTGCCAGCCCCCACAATCTCTGAATCCCTAATGGTCCTGGCCCCTCATCTGAGTCCTTGCTCTTCTCAGCCGTCCGCACCTGCTGCCGGCTAACCACAACAGAATTATTTTATATAATATAATTTTATACTATGGTATAAAACATGTCACTTTTGAAAATCAGATAATATGAAATCTCAGGTCAGTTTCTATTCATTTAAATAAATCCTGCAAATTACATGAAGAACAAAACTGACATGAATCTAACACCCAATATACATCCTAGAGATAACTTCCCTTGAAATAACATCAGGTAATATAGAGGATAGTACTCTTTGTGTTTAATGAATTGGATACCAGATCATAACCGCATATGCTGCGACAAATTTGTAAGTTTTTAGGACACAAAGCTCATTGTTAATTTTACCAAAACAGATTGAAACAATGTTTTTTCCACCCAATATATCACTGTTGCTTGTATATTCCTTTTTGTCTCCCTGTGCCTTTAAGAACAGCCCAAGTTTCATCAGGAGGGAATGTTCTAAACTCATTCTAAAAAGGAAGTTTTATTTTGGATTTTAAGTATGTTTTAGCCAAGTGTATTGTGAATGGATTTTGTCTGTCTGTAAACCATGAGGTATGCTTATCTGCAGAGGCCTAATTATTTCTCTCCTCAAGTGTGTTTGTGTCTATGCATGAACACTTGTGTGTGTATGTGTGCGCACACATGCACGCACACTTTCTCTTGCTGGCTCTCTTCAGTATACAAGTGGGGAAATAGCCTCTCTTTTCTAACAATATCATTAAGACTTGGACTTTCCAAACTCTGCCTGCAAGCTATCCACCCCACCTCACTACCTTCCCTAAAAGATGTTGATCCTAGCCAATTGTGTCCTAAGCATTTGGGAGCAGGAATGAAGGCATTCCTTTCAATGTGTATTTTCTATTGTGGACAACTATTTGTCTATAGTTGGTCAGTTTGCCACGGGACCCATGGGACTTGAGTTTGACACCCCTGCCCTATATCTGGCCTGCCAGGCTGGCCTGGAAATAGCAAAGGACTGGCCCGCAATGCCTGTGCCAGCCAAATGCCCTTTTGGCAGGCAAGGTGCTGCAGGAGGCCATCCAGGCCAAAAACAGGGTGCATGGGAGCTGCGTGAGGCCTCCTCCGCCCTGTTTTGGCCGGCAGAGTGCTCCAAGAGGCCGTCCAGGAGGAAAATGGGGCATAGAGGAGGCACACACAGACTCCCCATGCCTGGTTTTGGCCGACAAGCATGTTGCACGAAGCAATCCAGGATGAAAATGGGGCACAGAGGGGGCTCACACAACCTCCCCATGCCTGGTTTTGGCTGGCAGGTTGCTGCAGAAGGTCGTCCAGGGCAAAAACAGGGTGAGGGGGGAACCTCATATGGCCCCCCCACACCCTGTTTTGGCTGGCAGGGTGTTACAGGAGGTGTTCATTCCATCTCCTCCCCGACCCACCCCGCCAGGCTGGCTTGTGGAAAAATGTAATGCTAATCCAGCCCTTGAAGAAATCCACTTTGACACCCAGTATAGGATCTCCTGCTCAAGCAGGGGGTTGGACTTGAAGACTTCCTAAGTCCCTTCCAATTCTTTTATTCTATGTGTTGCAAAAAAGCAATCAAAAGGCAAGTGAAAACATGTAAAGTTTTATAGTGTGGGGCAACTGTATTCTGAAGTTGTGACACTTTCTGAAATTTTGAAAGCTTCTGGCGGCCTCACTGATACATGGCTGCCTACTTCCTAAATAATTACAACTGCAGGAAAATATGGTGAGATAGCCCCCTAGGAAGTGTTCTACTACCTAGAGAGATTTTTGTGATGCAAAAGGCATCACAACTTGCCAGCTGTTGCTTTTCCAGCTTCTTCACTAAAAGAGCCTGGTGGATATCAAGGGAAATATCTGGCAATAGTATCTAGGCACAGCCATTATTTACTACTTGCCTCACAACATCAAAGCTATGAAATCTGAGGTGCTAAACAAAAGCTACATCCTTCCCTCATACACAACCATGCCAGATAATAACTTGACAATACTCACTTGATTCTGTTTCAGAATAGACACTTGTTTCTGAAGGCAGATGTTTTCTTCCTCGAGTTCAGTGTAATCTTGCAGCAAGCGAGATTCCCGGAATTTATACTCTTTGATGTCATCTCGTAAGCGACCTCTCTGGATCTCAACATTTTGATTTATCTGAAAGACATGCATCAGCATTTAATACTTTTTGCCTTTTCTTTGAGAGCACATGACCTAAGGCGGTGACTTCCAACTGGTGATCATGTAGAGGAGAGGCAAGATAAGGTAATAAGTATTATTATTTTTAACTTGTTTTATACACATACGCACACACATATACACATTATATTAACTTGTTTTAAATATTGTTTTAACTTGATACACACACACACACACACACACACACACACAGTGTGTGTGTGTGTGTATCAAGTCCTTCTGTCCATCCTGCCTTTCAGGGTAACATTCCTCCCATAAAATTATAAATTACAATAAAATAAAATAAAGTGGGAAATGGGAAATAAACATTCCATAAATGTTATTTAAAAGTAAAGAACTTTCTAGGAGCCGTGTGGTATGATGGGAAAACCCAGTTGGGTAGGTGGCTTCCGGTAACTGTTGCATTCCTTCCTTACTACTGTTCAGAGATATTTTCTGTACCTAAATAATCCTATACCTTCCGGGCAATATATTATTTCCAATGTTAATTTTTTTCACATACCTACTTACATAAAAATTGGGAAGTGCCTATATGTCAGTCTCCCCAGGTAGATTACATAGGAAATATGACTGGATGAGCTAGTTCTACTTTATTGTAAGGCTACAATAAAGTAGAATCTTGTAAACCTGAAAGTACAAATTTTACAGAGATGCGGGGGGTTTGTCCCTTTTGATCCTCTTGCTTTGCCCATTCTCCAGCTGCAGGCTAGGCTTTAATCATTTCCTAGGCAGTGTCTCTTCATCTGTCTCTCAAGGTTTTCCCCATCACACTGTATACTATTTCCTAGCTTAGTATTTCTGAGAGTTATTTATAGAACTATAAGGGTTTGCTGTTATTGTACAAGCCTCCCTTCTGGAAAGCAGCTTCCCTACCCAATCAATGCTGCAGCTGCATTGACAGGGGATGTTCCCAGACTGATCATATATGGATAGATTTTAATTGCTTCCGCATGGCTTCTCTGGCAACCCTGGTCCTGACCCAGTTATTTATGTCCCTAAACTCACAAAAAGAGAGACCTGCTAAGATACAGAAAGAGATAATCAGAGTTGGAAGGGACCTTGCAGGTCATCTAGTCCAACCCCCCCACCCTGATTTCTGTCTGAGGACAATGATGGTATGAACTGGATACTATAGATCCGTTGTTGTGGTCAGATAAGTCTTGTTAGCCTTGGAGTTCTCTGCAGATTCTCAGCACCTCAGGGACAAAGGACTTAATTCTAGTTGATTGATTTCTAAGGGAACCTCTGACACTCAGGTGCACAGTTCGATCAAGGCTAGAGTTGTTATGTGGAATTCAGAAGCAATAATAACCCTGGGACAGTTTATACTTATTTTGCAATTTGTTAGTAAAACAGCCACATACAAATTATATAAATTAGATAGACAGAGAAGAAAGGAGGTGAAAAATCCTTGATTCCCAACTTGAGTCTTGGAAATGTTGGCTGAGCCATAGATTATTCAACTAGTTTCTCAACCTTAACAACTTCAAATGTGTGCATATTAAGAATGCTAGCTGGGAATTCTAGACAGAAGTCTACACAGCTTAAAGTTGCTGAGATTGAGAAACCATGAAGTAGATAATCTAGATCTATCATTCAGATGAGTCTTCACTACACAAACAAGGGAGGAGTAATAAAAATGATTGACTAAAATAACAATAATTTTCCCTGCCTTTTCAAGGATGCTTAGTCACTTTTATTGCCTCTCTTTTATTTCAAATAAGAAGCAGAAACAGCATCATAACTGTAATTAGTTTTGTTTAGTCTAAATTAAGCAACCAAATCAGGTCTAAATTGGAATTATCCTTTCCACAGGTAACAAACACACCCATTTTTCCAAGTTGAAAAGATTTGTAGACATAAAATAATGAATAATTTTCAGTACAAAGGTATTACTATCACAATTTCCTTGTAGAAAAAAATACGAGCCACATTCATGCCATAAAAACCCATTTCTATTTATGCCAATTTAAATATTCATTACAATGAAACCTCCCAAATTTCTCAGACATGAGATACAAATAATTCAAGCTGATGTATAATTTAGAAATACAAATGTGGAGACAGGAAACCTTGGGGGTTGTCAGTCCCTTGATATATTTTCTTCAAGAGATTTCCTTTCTTTCTCAATTAATTAGCATATTTGTTCTAATAAAATTTGCCTCTGAAGGAATAAGATCATGTGGTATAATCTTGTGAAAATTAGATTCATGAATGCACAGGAAAGCCTCTTTCCGCCCTCTCCAAATTACAAATATAAAATCATAATTATGGTGGTATCTTTCAGCTACTTAACTCATTTTTTTTTAATAGAGCATACATAGGTTATTTCGCCTTGATTCAGATCAAAAATGCAAACTGGTAATAGCCATGATTCGAAGTTATATTACGGACAACTTGTGCAATTGGTCCTTTTTACTGTATATTATCATACCAGACTAAAAAAAATAATTTCAGAATAAGAGTTAAATTCTTGCTTTAAAGTTAGTGCCTCCTATCAATCTTACAATGTATATATTGTAAGATAGACAGGATGCATTAATTTTAAAATAAGAACTTAACTCTTATTCTGAAATTACTGGTACTCTTTTCCATCCATATATAACAATGTATGGAGACTTCCATGATGATCTTTAATCAGAGTAAGATCCCAGAGTAAGACCACCTGGCCTCAGGAGCCACTTCACTACTATACATACCCTACACAAAGTACTGTATATAACTGATACATTCTTTTATTGCATTTTGCGTGTAGGACAGTATTTATGAATGAATTCTTTATTGGCCAAATGTAATTAGACACACAAGAAATTTGTCTTGGTGCAAATGCTCTTCGTGTACATAAAAAGAAAAGATACATTTATAAAGAATCATAAGGTACAACACTTAATATAGTCATAAGATACAAATAGGCAATCAAATCATACTAGGAAACCATCAAAATAAATCGTAAAGATACAAGCAACAAAGTTACAGTCAAACAGTCACAAGTGGGAGGGGATGGGCGGTAAGGAGTGATGAGAAGATTAATTGTATTACTAATGCAGACTTTGTAAATAGTTGGACAGTGTTGAAGGAATTATTTGTTTAGCAGAGTGATGGCATGTGGGAAAAAACTGTCCTTGTGTCTAGTTGTTCTGGTGTGCAGTGCTCTATAGCGTTGTTTTGAGGGAAGGAATTGAAACAGTTTATGTCCAGGATGTGAGGGTTCTGTAAATATTTTCACAGTCCGCTTTTTGACTTGGGCAATATACAGGTCCTTAGTGGAAGGCAGGTTGGTAGTAATTTTTTGAAATTAGGGATTCTTGAAAACAGAAAAGCCCCTCCATCTTTTTTTAATCACTTGATTTTCTTCTACTGAAAAGAGAGTTCTCAGAGTTTTTGCATTTTAATAGCCAGAAATTAGAGAAACGTATTAATCCTAACATAAACTGAGTGTCACTCTGGTATGTGGTATTTTCCAATTTTCTATTAACAAAAAAATCTGTTGTAGTAAGAAGCTTGCTTTCAATTAGTTCCTTTCTCATTTAAAAATAGCCGTCCACTCAAGCTTTTGAAAAAAAAATCAAAGTGCTAGACAGTAGACAATATGTCAAAAGCTAATGGCTAATGATTTATACATCACTCCAGAGCATTTCTAAGTGCAAAACACTAATTAAAAACTAATAATACAATAATAAACATTAATTAAAACAAATATTAATACAACAAACATTAATAATTTTATATAAAAAAACCATTCAGTGTAAACTCTAATCTCCCATGATCTTCTGAAACAGCCATTCAAATGGAGGTCCGCCCTTGTTTCAGGGGCCAGCAGATAAATAGTTCCAATGGAAAACACTTGCTTCCACGACTCTTCCTGTTGATAGATGTTCTATCAAGATATTCTGGATAGATGAGAATATTTAGCAGACATTTTCTATAGTTAACATAATAAATTGCATTTAGAAACACCTTGGTAATCAATGTAACTCCCACAGCAGCGATATTACATGGCAGTAATGAGACTGCCCCATAAAGTATTTCTAAGAGTACAGCTGTTTTTGTAAATATTCTCGGTGGCCTATTTTCCTACTAGCAAAGACTCTTGATTCAACCAAATTTCAGTTGATTTAACATTGTCTTCACAGATCCTGAAAAGGAACTACGCTTTGTCAGTTCCTCTTTGTCGCTTGTATCCTTACATATATGGACTGTTTCCTAGTATGATTTGATTGTTTATTATACTCTATGACTATTATTAAGTGTTGTACCTTATGATTCTTGACTCTCGATGAATATATCTTTTCTTTTATGTATACAGAGAGCATTTGCACCAAGACAAATTCCTTGTGTGTCCAATCACATCTGGCCAATAAAAGAATTCTACTCTATTCTTGTAGCAATACCTCTGATTTTCTTCCAAAGAATCCAATCAAGGCTATGGATTCCACTTCAAAATGCAGTTAGTATATGTTGAATCTGGACCATTTTCTTTGACTTGTTTGTAGATTCTTGTACAGCAAGGGTGTCAAACTCCATTTCATTGAGGGCTGCATCAGGGTTGTGTTTGACCTTGGAGGGGTTGGTGTGTGTGGCCAGGAGGGCAGGGGCAGCTCGAAGTCACTCATCGAGGCTCCATTTTCGGCCACGACAGCCCTTTTGGGCTCTGTTTTGGCTGCGACGGCCTCCTGTAGCCCTCTGCCAGAGAAAATGGAGCTTGTACAGGCTGGTCCTTCCCTGTTTCCAGAGCAGGCCTGCGGGCCAAATCTAAGGACACCCTGGGTCGGATCCAGCCCCTGCCAGGGCCTTATGTTTGACACTCCTGTTGCACAGGTTCTTATATGCACAGCAATCAGGCTAAGCATTTTGACTGTTTCCTTTTCACTCAGACAGAAGACAAGAACTACATTTCTTTCTTTCTTTCTTTTCCTTTCTTTTCCTTTCCTTTCTTCTTTTGATAATTATGTCAGTTA